TATATATATATATATATTTGTTTTTTCCCCCTATGGTTATGCAGCATAGAGTATGGTAGCATCGGATGTACGGAACAAATTAAGTGTTGCCTGTCGGGTATTAATAATAATTGACCCCCCCCTCCCCCATGCAATTCATGTGTCCCAGTTAGGTCGGAGGTCTGGGGACTGGTCTGGGTTCAGATCCTCATCCAACATGTCGGCTCATTCATCACTTGTCCATTCTTCAAAGGAGACAGACAGCTTGTTTCAGTCCACTTGCTTCATGTTTTCGACAGAACAGCAGGCTGTGCAGGTTGGAGCTAAAGCAGTGGGAGAGAAAAAGAACAAAATGATTGCTGGACTTTTCACTGTTTCCTTTTTTTTTCTGGTTGGAGTAGGAAAAAAAGCTGCCAACCCCACAGTGTGAATAAGAACTTTGAATCAGTCCATCTGCACCGAAAAAATTAAACACGGTTGAAAACAGCAAATGTTGTTATGATGACAATTATTAAAAAATAAAAAAAGACACAAATGGTGAAAGTCATCTTTAATGTTGCATGAGAAAAAAAGATGATACAATGTTTTTCTTCATTTCATCGTGCAAATGCGATGCATGCAAATGTTTTTGAAATGCATAAAAATCCATACATCCGCAGTTTAAGGGTGACAAACATAGAATCAATTTATCATGATCAAATATGCCAGAGTATGATGCCGTTTCTGAAAATGAATATTGGGTGTAACTGTGCATGGTTCATACCCGATCACAGATTTAGTATTCAATTCAATATGAGTCAAAAGGATTTTCTTGTTTTTAAAGTGCCTGAGTCATTGTATCAAAGGCCTTGATTTGGGGACTGATTTATGATCATTTATGATCACGATTAATCTCAATAATCGGTTTCCAATTCACCTCAAATGAATATGTAATCATCTTACTACAAAACAAGTCTTTTTTGGCGCAGTTCAAATTAGATGTGAGAAAATGTTCTCTGCAGTTTATTTGCTCAAACAAAACGAGGTTTTTTTTTTTTAAGCAAGAGTTCTTATGTCGTTATGTCGATTTCAACTTCTAACACCATCAATACGACAAGAGCTGCAAAACGTGCAGTGTGGCTTCAGTCTTGATAGTTTGCTTTCATCTTGACCCCCCCCTCCCCCATGCAATTCATGTGTCCCAGTTAGGTCGGAGGTCTGGGGACTGGTCTGGGTTCAGATCCTCATCCAACATGTCGGCTCATTCATCACTTGTCCATTCTTCAAAGGAGACAGACAGCTTGTTTCAGTCCACTTGCTTCATGTTTTCGACAGAACAGCAGGCTGTGCAGGTTGGAGCTAAAGCAGTGGGAGAGAAAAAGAACAAAATGATTGCTGGACTTTTCACTGTTTCCTTTTTTTTTCTGGTTGGAGTAGGAAAAAAAGCTGCCAACCCCACAGTGTGAATAAGAACTTTGAATCAGTCCATCTGCACCGAAAAAATTAAACACGGTTGAAAACAGCAAATGTTGTTATGATGACAATTATTAAAAAATAAAAAAAGACACAAATGGTGAAAGTCATCTTTAATGTTGCATGAGAAAAAAAGATGATACAATGTTTTTCTTCATTTCATCGTGCAAATGCGATGCATGCAAATGTTTTTGAAATGCATAAAAATCCATACATCCGCAGTTTAAGGGTGACAAACATAGAATCAATTTATCATGATCAAATATGCCAGAGTATGATGCCGTTTCTGAAAATGAATATTGGGTGTAACTGTGCATGGTTCATACCCGATCACAGATTTAGTATTCAATTCAATATGAGTCAAAAGGATTTTCTTGTTTTTAAAGTGCCTGAGTCATTGTATCAAAGGCCTTGATTTGGGGACTGATTTATGATCATTTATGATCACGATTAATCTCAATAATCGGTTTCCAATTCACCTCAAATGAATATGTAATCATCTTACTACAAAACAAGTCTTTTTTGGCGCAGTTCAAATTAGATGTGAGAAAATGTTCTCTGCAGTTTATTTGCTCAAACAAAACGAGGTTTTTTTTTTTTAAGCAAGAGTTCTTATGTCGTTATGTCGATTTCAACTTCTAACACCATCAATACGACAAGAGCTGCAAAACGTGCAGTGTGGCTTCAGTCTTGATAGTTTGCTTTCATCTTGAACATATTTTGCGTACATTCAATCTGCATTCAACTCACTTAGTGAAAGAAATCAACTCAACAGAAACTTTGTTGGTAATACAAGTGCAGGTATATTGAAATTGTCTGACTTATTCGATTCTCTTACATTCAAAATGTCTTGGGTTGCTTTTCGCAGTAGCTCACAGAACAGACAACTGAAGTCCGGCAGGTGAAGAGAGCGCTTTCCTTGATAAATGATATTGAACATATCAACAGAAGGAAAACAATAACCCGGGGAAGATGGGCTTATCATTGTCAAACCCCACAATCACAATGTCTAAATGAATGTAAATACTGTATAGAGGGATGAAACTATATGCAAACCACTGGGAATGTCCAAAAACAGAAAACCCAGATCTGGCTTTGCCGCCAGTAAAGAACATCTGAAAAGTCCTTCATTTTCTGGAATCTGTCAACGTGCATCGCAGTTATGGGAAGAGAAACAGCTCACGATCCAAATCATAGACAAGTATCAAAAATGTGCCACGCTGTGTCACGTCATATAGGCATGTCTAGCTGCTAATCAGCTGGTCAAATAGAGGTCACGAAAAATCACCACCAACCAGCTGAGTCACCTCCAACAGCACAAAAATTAAATACGAAAATGAAATATGACAATAAAAATCAATCCAGTAATCCCCTTTCTGTCGCAGGTTTTCTGTTTCACCGAATTCGTTTATGTTAATTATTTTTTGTAAAGTTTATAACTACCGTACTTTGTTCTGCCTCTCGTTTATTTTGGCGGAACTTCCACTGTCGACCACTAAATGGCGGCACACTATTTTGTATGACGGTACAATTTAAAAAAAGGAATGAAAGCAGGAAGCGTTTCAGCTCAGCCTTGTGTTTTGCTCAAGATTATTTGTCTTCCTTCGTGCTTTTCACGCCAACACAGAGTGACATTTGTCGGTTCATTTTCTAATGGACATCTTTGGGCATGATTAGTTATGTACTGTACATACTGTACTGGTACACAGTAACGCTGTTTATCAAATATCCGTGTTTGTGATGTCATTCAATATATTTTTGAATGTGTTTGTACTGTTTAAAGAGCTTAAAATTAATTACATTCCATCAATTCTATAAATAAATGCCTCGGAAGTATTTAAAAAGGGTATTTCTATATCGCGGATTTCACTTATTGCAGCTGTAGTCTGGAACGTAACTCCCGTGACGTAGACGGGATCACGACCATTTGAAATATATTGATACCTATTTTTACATTGGTAAATAGGATGTAATTATACCTGTAATGCCAATTGTGTGACATATTTCCAGTTTCTGGTGGACAAATATTTAACTCCTTAAAAAATTGACATTCGCAGTAGTTCCTACTCAATGCAATATACTGTATAGAGAAGCAAAGTAGTGTGAAATTCCACTGCCTCGAGCTGGTCGACTTTGTGCCTGCAGCACTTCCATGTCAAGTGCTGACATATAAACATCCGGTCAAATCAAGTTCGACAAAGTTCACTGCTCTCTGCTGGATTTGCTATTTATCTTTGTTTCAGGTTTTCCATCTCATGGTACCACTGCAATTTGTCCAGTGGGATTGCTGCGCATGCATTTTCAATTTCTTGCCTCGGGGCAACCAGTGTAGTCCTTTTCCTGTGATGCACAAAATCCTTCTCCTGGGGGTGGGGGGGGTTGAACACGTGAAAATGCATATGCAGCAATCCCATTGGACACTTGGGCCGACGTTACCCGAGCAGTAGTTTGCTGTACACATAAATGTGTGGAGGGTAATGGCCAACAATTTGAGAAGCCCTTGTAATTTTAGAGGCCAAAGGTTAGTTGTAAAAATCTAAAATCTCTATGCAAGTTTCCCACAAAAATGGAACCTTTAAAGATCCACAAAAAAAGCAGCATGTAAAGGTGGCTGCAGTCAAGGGCTGGCAAAGCATCTCAGGAGATGAAAGTCAGAATTTGGATGACGTCTAGGGGCAGCCACCCAATGACTGCATTTGACCTTTATCAAGCTGTAGTAATATAAAATATACATTTTTTAAATTTAAATTATTCTCCTTATCTCTGCTCTAACCCATCCCATATGTGTTTCATGAGTTTGAGATGATGGCTCTATACATTCTTTCACATCTACATGCAGTTGATTCAAATGTCTGTATGAATGTTGAAAAGTTTTTAAAAAGGTTGAAACCAATCCTAAATGGGTCATTCATAGATTAAGAGACGTACGCAGACCTTTGTTGACATAGTGTGCACAACCTTGCAAACACACTTTACCAAACATCAACATGATACTCCTTAATTTCGGGTGTACACATGATTTAATTGTTCCGAAAGCAATAGGCAACTACAGGCTGTCGCACAAGACATACTATAAGATGACAAAGCAGCGATTTTATCAGACTCCCCCACCCCCCCCCCCAAAAAATGGCATACAGTTAATTCAATCATAATTCAAGAAGTGACACCAGTTGCTTGTTGATCTACTCTTATGTTGTTCAATCTTCTATAGTTTTTCACAAGGGAAGTGAAAGAAAGAAGAATTAATTGTCCAAACACCAGCTTGGTAGTGAAGCTGTCAACAGAATGTTTTTTTTTTTCCCCGTGCATGCATTTCCAAGGTGACTGTTCTGTTAGAAAACTGTCGTCGGAAGAGTAGAATGATCCTCTCTCTCTGCCACGAGTTGCAAATTGTCGAATCGAGATAGAGATGTGAGCTCAATTGACGTCAACTCAACCTTGGAGCACATCTCTTCTGACTCTGCTGCTATTTCTTCTCCTCTTTCCTCCTTCCAAAGCCGTTCGTACTCCTGCTTCAGCTCCTGATAGGAGCGGGAGAAGGTATGGAAGATGGAAGTGGCGGGGAACGCCATGATGAGTATTCCACTCAGGATACTAGTCAGTGCCACCATCTGTCCGGGGATGCTGCGGGGGACCATGTCTCCATAACCAACAGTTGTCATAGAGATGATTGCCCACCAGTAAGTCGCCGGGATGCTGCTGAAGCTGTTTTGCGGATGGGTAGCGGCATACGGCGCCAGTTCGCTTTCTGCAAGATGGACCAATGGTGAAAAGAGAGTCACGGCCACGCAGACAAATAGCAGCAGTAGGCCAAACTCCCTCATGCTGCGCTGCATAGTCAGGCCCAGTGTTTGTAAACCCAGGGAGTGACGGGCAAGCCGCATAACGTAAAGGATGCGCAGCGCGCGCAGCAAGCGAAGAATGAGACTCAATTTGTCCAGGTAGCCTCTGCCGGCACCCATGACCATTTCGTCCTGGGACTCATCTCTGACATCCACCACCAGCGACACGTAGTATGGCAGGATGGCGACGGCGTCAATGATGTTGAGGGGACCACGAGCAAAGGCCAGCTTACTCTGGGCATTTATAAATCGCAGCACAAATTCAAAAGTGAACCAGGCTACACAAATGGACTCCACCACAAACATGCTGTGACACTTCTGGGAACACTCGCCCTGCAAGACACAAAAGGTTCCACCGGATGAGCACAACTATCAGTTATGGGCGCACTGAGAAATCGAGAATAAGAATGCTTTTTTTTTTCTTTTCTTTTCTTTCTTTTTTTTTTTGAATTTATGCACAGACTAGATTGATCCCGCTTCATACAGACCAGTAAAAATACATTCTGTTGCTGCATGAAGGGCGAGGAGGGCAATGTCTCTTTGTCATGCCATGCCTCAATCAGACACGCTGCTTGTCCTCACGACTCTTACTATTTTTTTAACACAGTATGTCCAAAACAGTCTTCGTGTTTGACTTGGAACCTAGTACATAAAATTGCAAGGGCATTCTGGTCTTAAATGACATCATTAAAATGGTGGGGTTAAAAATAGCTCAATGTGGGTTTTTAAAAAATAGATAGATAGATAGATAGATAGATAGAAAGTAGTTTGTGACCCCTGGTTTCAAAATATCACTCGGCTAGTCTTACATCAGGAAAACATTGTTAATAATCTCGTTTTAGGTAACTGTATGCAATTATCTTTATTATTATTATTACACACACAGGCACAGGAGAACATACAAACTCCACACAGTTCTTATTTTCATTAGTTGATAACTGTATGAGTGTATGAGTGCAGCATACTGCCACATTTGTGGCAGTATGCTGGTTTTTCTCACTGCCGCACCACATCAATATTAAGTGAAACTACATGAAACGTCAATGCCAGTGTGATGTTTCATACACACCCTCGTCTCTTCGTCTCGGAGGTCTGGCATGGTGCTGATACACAGGCTGACCACCGTGACCAGCACCATAATGACAGAGAGGCAAGCAAATATCTTTCCTGCCAAACCCGAGTGAGGGTTTTCCACCACTTCCCGCAGCATCCAGATCAGCTTGCAGTGGCCTCGCTCCACTTCTGCCGTGTTTTTCTTCAGCTTCATCCTCTTCCGTCTCCATTCCTCTTCTTTGCGCTCTCGCTCGGCCACCTCCTCCACGCGGGTGATCATGCGACGACGGCAGCACCGCTCCATGTGACCTGGGTCGACGCCCCAGTAGTCGAGCTCGTCATGCAGAGATACGGCGCACAATTCCCTGAGCAGACGCAATTTGCCCGCTGCGAGGAAATTGAGGATGACCCGGAAAGCTGTGGGGTTGCGGTCAAAGAAGTATTCCTTGCGTGTCTCATCATAGTCATCACAGAGGTGTGCGATCTCCTCGGGAGTGGTGCAGAAGCGCAGGCGTCCCAGGCGACTTTGGGGGAATTGCTCCAATGTGCTCCAGGGGAAGGTGTAGCGATTACCCCCAACATTGATGAGGACTTGAAGGGTGTGATCGACCACATGTGAGGCCTTGGGCTCACGTAGTAGCTGGGCCCGCTGGAAGTACACCCCCTTGATTGTCTCCGTCTCGGGGATCTCAGTGAAGAAGCGGTCGAGGCTACTGTCGTCGCTGCTCGTCGAGTAGGTGCTGAAGTCGTGATTGGCATTGCTGATAATCGGCATTCTGTCTTCACTGTAAGAGGTGGAACTGAAGAGGTATCTGTCAGGGCGTCTGACTGAACAAACACAAAGAAGCCGACAGCTGAAATTATAACAAACGGATAAATAAATAAACAAATACAAATATTGTCATAGTTCTTGATCTTTTTGATTTCCCTCATCCCTGTTATTGACTTATGATTAGTCCAGGGTGTACATTGCTCCTCGAGGTCATGTGATGTGGGATAGAAGGACACACTCTCCCACACTCGGTTTTCGAAAATGTAGGAGGATTTCATTTGAAAATAAAAGCCACATTTTCAAAACGAGTAAAAACTGGACCCTTTTGTTTCTTCGAATGTCCTTCCAAGTTTCACAGGCAGACCCTGACCTTCAAAAACAACTAAAATGGTCGGCCAATACCATGTCCAGGCGCACCAACTGCTACTCTTGAACAATGTCATATTTTTACAACTTGCCATTCATAATTTGCGCAATGGGAGCATTGTCTCTCCACTGGTCACAGTAACACTTTGATGCCTACTCGGTTCTTTCCTGAGTACACAAATGTTGCAATGTACATTTGCTGTACATATAACATTTCCCTTGTGTGTGGATTAAACAAACAGAACAGACTGTTCTACATGATTTTGCCAGGGAGCAGAAGGAAGGCTTTATTACGGTAGGAGTTGTTATTCAAACCACTCTCTTTTGTGCACTGTACCGAGTTGCCGTTAAACACTGGAAATACAAATCTCATGTACTCGTTAAACTGACATCGATGGCCATCACAATCAAAGACTTTTTTTAACTCACAAAAACAACGGTTTGTCCTCAAAGTCTTATGAAGTGTACCACTGTATCATATATATCAAATAAAAATAATGGCATTGCATTGCATTGAATTGCAAAGATTTTATTTTTTTTAAACACTAACTTCCTTCAAGTACCCCATCCAACTGGTGAAGGTTCTTAATTAGTGTGCCTACACAACATTTGGAGGATGACATATCATTATTACTGACAAACGAGGGGAAAGCACATTCAGGTCGTGAATGAGATGCACCCTAAAATAGTGAGGTATTAAGTAAATGGTGGAGAAATTAATTCAAACACAGTAATACAAATTAAAAATTCTGAGGGGGGGGGGGACAAGGGGTTGATGGGGTTAGATAAAGGAATAAATTATGTTTACTCACCTCAGAGGGCGCATGTGGTCTGTCTAAGCTCTGGAACATTTCTCTTTAGAGTCCAGCACATTTTCCAAGCTGTTGCTCAAACAAACACGCATCTCGCCCACGAAGACTAAATTGCTGGCGTGTTTGTGCCCGTTTAGTCAAACACTCACAGTTTGTTAGAAATCCCACCGTTGTGATAATAACAATCCCCGACTGTTTCTAAACGGTTTCTGAAGTTTCCATGGTGGACATCTGCTCCAAAGACTGCACCACGCCAGCTTTGATATCAAGCGAACGCATTTCATCTGCCGTGTCGTGTTCCCGCTTCCGCGGTTCGTCGTCTGTGCCTGTACGGAGGGACGAAATACGATTAGGTGCCCTCCTCAAATCTGCTGCTGTATTTTCATCTGTGCTTGACAGCAGGACCGTCCTCCTTCCCTCCTCCCCCTCCGCTTGCACCAGCTCGCTCTTCACGCACACTGAAGAGGGGGAAAAAAACAAAAAGATTGGAGATGGAAGTTGGATCTCTATAAATGCTCGTCTTTGTTTCAATTCGGATGCCACTGAGTTAGTTATGACAGAATTGGAGGATAGTTTTTGTGCCTCCTTGAATTCCAAATGATCCACGCAAACGCAACAACAAACATTCACCTGATGTATACATTCTAGTTGAAAATGTAACTGTAGCTATGGTTCAAGTGATTTTTAACCAAATAGTTCTGGAGCGCCCTCTAAGTTGCTTTTCCCACCTTGCTCTCCCTTTTGATAACATACAGTACCTTAATGTAACAGATTCAATACGTTTTAAAATTGTGATGTTATTGATATGTCTTCCTTTAGTCATTAAAACATTTGTTTTTATCACATTACATTTGAAAGAGTAATTATGCTCTGACGGTGTGTCTCTTAAAAGAGAGGCAACCCTGCTACTAAAACCTTTTTTTTTGCCATCTTGGGGAAGAGAAAAATCCTGAGCCCCACGTGACCACAACCCAGTTCATCATTAGGGGAAGTGACAAGAGAATGAAAGTGTGTTAAGTATCTTGAAAGTAGAAAAGCGCTATACAAGTAAAAGTCTGTTTACCATTTATAAATCATCCATTTCAGCACTCGACTTGTGATTCTATTAATCTCATCCATCCAATTTCTAATCCACTTATCCTCACAAGGGTTGCAGGAAAGCGGAGTACCCATGCAGGCACGGGGAGAACATTCAAACTCCACACAGGAAGGCCGGAATCAAACCCTGCACCTCTACACTGTGAGGCCGATGTGTCGACCATCGTGCCGCCCTTCTATTAAACTCCAGGACACGTTAGACACAAATATTGAATCCTGCACCATACATTTTAAGTATTCACTGTGAAGCTCTTGTTTTGATGCTGCCAAAGCCAGACTGACAAAGTTTGCGCAGGAGATATCCAAACACAGACAGGATTATATCAAGGAAGGAAGATAAAGCAGAGTCACTCTTCCCGTATGTCTATCTGACACACACACACACACACACACACACACACACACACACACACACCCACACACACACACACACACACACACACACAAACACACACACACATTCGCATAGGCGAGATTTGCATGCTTGATTTACAAGGTATAGGTTGTTTTGCTCCATACAATATCTAATCAGGACATCAGCTGCCATGAAGATGACATTCCTCCACACTCAGTCCCAGGGGCGTCACTAGGTTTCAAGAACAAGGGGGGCTTAGCCCCAAGGGGAACACAGCCCCTTTAGGGGGGTCCGGGGGCATGCCCCCCCGTGAGAATTTTTTTCTACATTCTGTTAAAAATCCATCAATTCCGTGCACTTTGAGAGCAAAATGAAGAGGCTATGAAGAACTACACACATCACATTAGTATCCTCTTTACTATGATGGGGCTTCCTCCCCTGGACTTTAACTGGACTAGATAATAGAAATTACAAAGAGTTCAAAAGTTCAATCTTGGTTGTTCAAGGGAATTAGAAGGATGCCCGATAACATAACCTATATGACAGTAGTCCTATATTCCTCTCTACCAAAATGTATTAATATATGCTTAGCAGTGGCGGGCCGTGCATTTCAACCTTAGGCCTTCAGTGACGTCACATACATACACAATATAGGCTCGTCAAGCAGAGATCTGATAGACTCACCTGTCCAGCAGAGCTCCCCCCGGCTCACTCTCTGTGCGTCTTTAGCCTGATTCCTATCAAATAAATAAATTGATTTTATATTTATTTTTTTATTTTATATAGGCCAAAATCTCAATAGGTGTTGCCTCAAAGAGTTGGTGTAATGATTATTTATGTATTTAATTATAAAATGTTGCTTAATTTTTATTAAGCACCACCTTAATTTATCCAAAAGTGAACACTTGTTACAGTGCAGTTTCTGCTGTTACTGGAGATATTTTAGCGGACTATAGTCACTAGTTTTACCAGCATGGATGCATTGAATACTTAATTTACCTTTCTAAAAAACTGTCGAATATCCATGCTGTCGACTCAACCTGACTTTCGGCAATGAACTGTCAGTTGTTGCGTTAGCATTCGATGTGGCGATGGTGACAGACACGTCAAATGCTAACGCAACACCTGTTGCGTTCAGGAAACCTGGGAGATTTAACATTACAATAATGGCAGGTTATCGAAATATAATTTAAAATGGCCGCATTACATTGAATTTGATGCAATATATTAGCAAAAGTACAGGAAAAATAAATAATATTTTTTTAAAATAATGCAATGAAATTATTTAGGGGGGTTAAAGACATTTTTAGGGAGGCTGAAGCCTCCCTAAAATAGGCCTAATGACGCCCATGCTCAGTCCAATAAATGTTTGGCACATTTTGGGAAATGGTTGCTTTGGTTTCAATTTAGTTTTGAAATGATTGCCACAATTTGGTGGCAAACTACACATTTTGTATTACTACAGTATAAGAAATGACAATGACTTTATTGGCAGGTTTGTGTGTTTGTTCGCATCCATAAATTGCCTAAATATCATATTTATTGTAAAAACACTTGTTGAACACTCCATTTTAAACAAATAAGAACCATAATGTACGAACCCTGTTTTCGACACCGTATGCCCTGTTGAGGGTCAGAGGGGGTATGGAATCCCCCGCCTACTGCCCGAAGACAGCTGGGATAGGCTCCAGCACACCCCGCGACCCTTGTGGGGAAAAGCAGATTAGAAAATAGATGTATACTCTACTATAATTTTACTGGTCCGACCCACTTGGGAAGAGATTTTCCTCCGTGTGGCCCCTGAGGTAAGATGAGTTATTCATTCATTCATTCATTTTCCGAACCGCTTGATCCTCACCAGGGTCCTGGGGGGTGCTGGAGCCTATACCAGCCGTCTTCGGGCAGTAGGCGGGGACACCCTGAATTGGTTGCCAGCCAATCGCAGGGCACACAGAGACGAACAACCATCCACGCTCACATTCACACCTAGGGACAATTTAGAGTGTTCAATCAGCCTACCATGCATGTTTTTGGAATGTGGGAGGAAACCGGAGTACCCGGAGAAAACCCACGCAGGCCCGGGGAGAACATGCAAACTCCACACAGGCACCTCTGCACTGTGAAGTCGACGTGCTAACCACTGGACTACCGGGCCGCCCGTAAGATGAGTTAGTCTTCCTTCAACCAAACATGCATGTGTTGGGAAAGTGGAAGGAAGCCATACCAAAGAAAACCCATGCCAGCCCAGAGGGTAAACATGCACAACCACTCCACAAAGGAAAGCCAGAGCCCTGATTCAAACTCCCACCCTTCAGAACTGTTAGGTGAAGGTGCTAACCATAAGTGAATCATACCACATTACAGCCTACCTATATTATTTAAGGTGATAATTTAAAACACTACATATTTCCTTCATGAATTTCTATTTATGGTTATCTTTGATCATTTTAGTAGTAGTGTTATGTGATCAGAATGTTAAATATTCAATGTAAGTCCACACATCCAGTTTTAGTTGAATCAAACATGATCCTCCCGATAATGCCCCACAGTCAAGTAAAGATCATTGTATCTGCACTGAGAGAAGTGTTGGATTGTCATAAAACAACCTCTGACTCTTTTGGTTGATGAAAACTGGGGATTACACGATAATCCATCAACCGGAGGGACACAAAGGGAAGGCAAATTAGAGCATCCTGGGAGACAGCCAAGGCATTGGTATGATGAAACTTGTACAAAGGCCGCAATTATTCTCATACTTGCTATCATGAAAACTACAGGGATACGATATCAGGGAATATGAATATTTTTATGCCATTATTTTTGTAATAGGTTGATTGTATGTTTTCCTTTTTCCACGCCATATAGGCTTAAAGAGTGTGCCCATCTAGTCTCAACATGTTGCTGCACTTCATTGTGAAATGCTCATTTAATTTGCAAAGTGAACATGCACATGTGTTACATTACACCAGAACCGCTTCACTAAAATGAGTCAGGCCTGGTTATCAATAAATAAATAAATAAATAAATAAATAATTGGATATAGGAGACTAAGCGAGGTTCATTTGGGTAGTTGGGAAAGCAACAAGAGGAGCATCACACTTGACACTGACACACACACGATGTGGATCGATACATTCACGACTACAAAGTACACAGTTGAAGCAAAGACAATCAAAAGGGCACTTTTTGTTTTGTGATTAATCCATTAAGCAGTCCATTTCCAGCCAGGCACGGCACCACGATTTTTTTCAATCCCGGGGCTAAGGGTAGGTTTGAACGATATGTGGCAGAGGTGCGAAAAAAAAAATCGATATTCATGACTTCACTTACTTGAGAGGTTCTTTTGTTTTTTTCAATAAACGTATGATGCACACCACAAGCATTTTCAAGTGGATGCGAGGAATTACCAATGTGGAGTAATCATTTTTTTGACTTTCAAATTCATATTGGCAAAGTATGTTCAAACATATTGATAAAATGTAAGCTAAATGCTAAAAACATAGCACAGCAGTAAAAAAATAAAAAATAACAAAAGCTTCTTTTAACATTTTGGCTTACATTGTACAAGTGCGTTCGAAAATTAAGTAAGTAAACATTGTTTATTAGTCATTTTTATGGTTTTATTATTATGTCTGAAATGTATGATTTCCATTCTGCATTTTTTCCCCCATAATACCACGGGCATTGACGTGTGCATGCGCAAGTCAGTACCCTGTCGCATTATTATTCATTTTATTCGTTCTGTGAACCAGTCTGATGACAACTACAGCCAGTCTAGGTTGTTTTATCTCATTCTGTTTGGAAACCTGAAGAGTCTTTTGCAACTTAATTTCCTGATGAAGCTGGAGGTTAACATGGTTCAGTGGAATCAGTCTGTCAGAAGAAATTAAACTAAACTCCTGGGGAATTGCTTCAGTCTCTCAATTTGTGCCGAATCACCTAGGGAGCTGTGCAGCGAGGCAACTGATAATTCACCCTTGATTCCGCACAATCAGTCTTCTCAAACATTGGTTAATTAACTCCTGCATGCTTCACATCTCAGCCTTATCGGCTGGCTGAAGGTCTGCTTCCACAGGCCATCCGTGCTTGAACGTGTTGTGCAACTAGACCTCATTAATATGGAGCAGAGCTTTACTTAAGCATTCAGGCTTTGTTTGTGTTGTTTTTCTGTCTCCTCTTTCTCAAAATGTAATTAGAAGATGCTAGTTGCAGCAGGAGGAAACCCTCAGAAAGGCATCAGATTATTCAGGCCAAGGGTCATATTGCAATTATCGACAAGCGGCTCTTTGAGCTACCGACTCATCTTACAAACTGTTTAGCAGACAGCGTAAAGAACATTTCTTACAGAGCTTTCGTGTGAACAAAGCTAAACCATCTATGTGGCGTCACAAAAATTACTAGACAAATTTCCTACCTCCTTTCATAACTTTGCTGCTGTAAATTGGGAATTTCTCCATTGTGAGACGAATAAAGGTTTTCTTATTCTTATTCTTCAAAGGTTGCACTATCCCAAGCATTAGCAATAAATAAATAAATAAATAAAAGAACAAAATACATACAAGGGCTTTGCAGCTGATAAAACATAAAATCATTGAATCGATTTCAGTCACATTCAAAACAGATCGCCTTTCTGGTTATTGGGCAGAGGCAGCAAGTACAAGTCAACAGGGAAAGTCAACATTCCTCACCATGGCAAACAAACAGGCAGATCAACATACAACATCTCATCAATAGTGTATGATTGCTTGGGGTGGATAGAAGGCTGAAAGGAGTTCTGTCAAATATTTTAAATCGAAAGATGACTTTTTCCGTTCCAATCCCGGAGGCCTGTATGTCGCTACGAAAACAAACGATGCAGTGAAGGGTCGCGTCATCTTCATTTGTCTCAACAAGTATTTAACGTGTTTATTGGCAGTAATTTGGACATCAACAACCCAGAATTTCTTTTGCAATTAAGCGCTTTACTACTTTATTTGCCAGTCTTGGAGTACAGTAAACGTCTGTTTACATGAGGGTCTTAGTACAGTACAGTACATCTGAGATATCTTATCTTTGTCATGTGATATATACATGGTATGCTACATGTACATAGAACTGTGCTTTACATATGTGAACACTAGCCTAACAGAACTATGTGAAATACTGCACGATACATAAACTGTCCTGGCGGACAAATAAATTAAGTGTGAATCCAATGATCTGCAGATGTCTATAAACATCTAAATTCACTGACATGACCTTAACTGTCCAAGAAAATGGTGCATGCAGTCCTTTGAGATTTGATGGCCAGAGACAGATTGCACTTAAATGAGGAGAAGATTGAAGTTGGAACATTGACTTGCTTCCCGTGAGCCCAATCACAGCCAAATGAGTCCGACCTCCTTGATTAGCGTGTAAAAATTGATGAACAGATTGGATGGTGGGGGGGGATTTTACACTAAAGCCCAAAACAATTTCTTCCATTCTTTTAAATCAAGAGTTCCCGAGCAGAACATCCATGCTTGCAGAAAGAAGACAGATAAGCCGTCAAAGTGCACAATATCAACATTGACTCACTGGCTCTGCTTCACACTCTCGGTTTATGCAAAGAGAAAGGCTCACACCTCCCCTCCATGTTGTTTTGCGCCTGTTAGTCAAACACACAGTAAATGCAGGGGATGTAAATGTAATTGCATCACATGCTGCCTTCTCCTCAGCAGGTCTGAAAAACTGCATATGATGTTTGCATGTATGCTGTCTCATTTGTTCATTACAGTGTGCCATATGCCACTGCTGCCACTACTATAGCAGCAGTAGTTTCCATTCTTCTTTTTTAATACAGATTCTACAGGATTACTGAGAGCCATTTCATCATCATCATCCTCCACAAAGGAAAACAAAAACATGACATAAACATGCCAAACTTTTTTTTTAACTCAAAATAATACAATAGATGTGCAGGAGCCTGAACCATATAAACATTCCTGAGTTGCATCTGTTATGTGGGAGAGAGCTACAGTACAATCTGTGTCAGCTGAAAAAAAATCAAATTCAATTTTTCACATTTGAGGCGATCCATTTTAAGTTATCGTGAAAAAAAACAGCAATCAAATGCTATCAAACCTGTACCACTTTTGTATGCAATAATCAGTTTTATTCTCTTGTGTGTGTGTGTGTGTGTGTGTGTGTGTGTGTGTGTGTGTGTGTGTGTGTGTGCGCGCGCGTGTGTGTGTGTGTGTGTGTGTGTGTTATTATACCTATGGCAATAAGAGGGCTATTACTAATCATACCTGAGAAATATCTAACACCAGGCTTTTGCAAATGTCAATATCTTTGAAACTAAACGTATTACTTTGTTTCAAAACACTGGTTGTAGATTTCTGACCATCACTGATTTTCATGATGCATATTAAGTAGTTCCACAGTGATGATCTCCGCTTCTCACTTACGTCCTCTGTTCTGTTGCTATTCCTGTGGAGCAGCACTGAGTCAAACACACCTTCAGGAATGAAAAAAAAACTTTTACTGCATGTCATTCGACACAAGTATGACAACGGAACACAGTTCCATGTGGTTTTAAATATTGCAATCCCGAGGCTGTTTTGCGTTTCCACAGGGATACTTGACGAGCAAAAGGCCCATTATCCTGCTACAGACGATGTTCAGCCACTCAGCACCCACGTGCACCACTCAGGCTCATGCACACACACGCACACAAACACACACTTCAGAACATGGGAATAATACCGTGAACTCCTGTGGTGAAATCAGCCTCCAAACAACGAATTATTCGTCTTTCTGAATTATCTTCACTATTTTGGCTGTACATTCAACTGGCCTCACAAGCACAGAGCAGGTGTAACCACACCAGCCTAGGACCTCCACATCCAGCATGTTCAGCTCCGAGATTGCCTGAGAACAGCCACCCATTCAGCTGATGCAACAATTGAATCGCATCACCAAAGACTTTCTGCACAAAATGTCAGAAACTGTCTCAGAACTGCAAATTTCAGAGCGGGCTTTCATTGTGGCCGTCAGCACGGTGGAAGACTGGTTAGCACGTTGGCCCCAAAGTGCCTCTGCAGGGTTCGATTCACACTCACACCTAGGGAAATTTTACAGTGTTCCATTCACCTGCCATGCATGTTTTTTGAATGTGGGAGGAAATTGGAGTATCTGGAGAAAAAACACACAGCCATGGGGAGAACATGCTAACGCCACACAAGAAGGCTGGAGAAGGAATCGAACCCTACAACCGCTGCACTGTGAGGCCGACGCGCTAACCAGTCGACCCCTTGTATATCCTTGAGATTCAAATTTACATTATTATCCTGGCTTATTACTTTTTCCTAAACACATTTGTACGTGCGTGTGTGCGTGCGTGTGTGTGTGTGTGTG